TATATGTATATTTTGATTATATTTAAAATTTTAATTGTATAAAATTATATAATTATTAATTTAGCACATGATTTTGAACAATTCTATTCAAATTATTACTTATATAAAAGTATTACATAAAAAGAGATAAAATATTTTTGACAATTATATTTTTTTCTTAAATTTTGTGTTATTATAATTGTAACTTAAACTTTAAAAATTACAAAATCTATAAATTCACTAGTTATTTTAAGTTTTATTTTATATATCATGCAAAAAAATATTTTTTCAAAGCAAATTTGTATCAAAATCTTAAGATTATTTGTACTAATTAAAATGGATGAGATATCCGTAAATATTCGTAAATATCCGCAAATATCTATTTATTTTCCGGATATCCGTTTTTCCGGATATCCGTTTTTCCGGATATCCGTATTTTTTCGAAGCAAAGCAAATACCAAAATTAGATATCCGTAATATTCGAAGCAAATCACAAATACCTTAAAAAACCCGGATATCCGATCCGTGCCCACCCCTATTTATAGGTTACCCATGATTCAGTTTTTCTGTATTATAACCCAATTTTTCTGTATTGACAATCCATGTTGGACTCACATCTTATGTATGTTTTAGGCAATTTTGTTTTTTGTTTTGTTTTTGTTTTTAAATATATCTATACAAACCATGCTACAACCAGTTTGTGTAATCAATTATGGTATAAAATATTTAAAGCATAAATAAATTTTTAAGTTTAGTTTGGTTTCAATTGCTTTTTGACATATGGTTGATGTATCCAAAGCAAAACGTGATATAATATTGTGCATAATTTGATTTAGTTTGATTTGGTTTCAGTTTAAATTCAAAAGTCTAGGGACAGTTTCCTTAAAAAAATTCTGTTCAGGGACCTAATTTTAAAAACATCGCCGGAAAGAACACATTTCGATCGAGATTTCAATAAAATCGAAAAAGGGAAGAGAGAGAGAGAGAGAGGAAGGGTGATGACGATGGACAGAGAGAAGGAGAGGGAACTAGAGCTGGAGAGTGCAATGTACACCAACTGCTTACTATTAGGTTTGGATCCGAACGTGATCGGACTCGGATCCTCCAACGGCACGCCTCGTGTGGGGTTATTCCGCCATTCCAACCCGAAGCTCGGAGAACAGCTTCTCTACTTCATCCTCTCTTCTCTCCGCGGACCCGCTCAGTCTTCAAAGGTACGACAGATTCCTCTCCACTCTCTCGCACAAGTTAGTTTCGGAATCACTCTTAATGATTTTTTGGGATCTCTCTCAGGATTTCGATAAGGTCTGGCCAATTTTCGATTCCGCTCAATCTCGCGATTTCCGCAAGGTAAAATAGCTTCTGAACTTGAAACGATTTGCTTATTGAATTTATAGTTTCTTGACGGTAGAGTTATGTGTCTATGAAGGTTGTTCAAGGGATAATAAGCGAGCTTGAATCACAAGGGGCATTACCAAGGAGTAACTCTAGGGTTTCATCACTTGCCACTTGCTGTGGACCAAGGTTTGGGGTTCATTAGGGTAATTAGTGCTTCATACTGAGCAGCAATAGATGATTTGATATGTAAATGTGGAGGGAACCTCCTGTTTTGATTGCAGATTTGTGGAGCTCTTATGGCAACTTTCACTGCATGCGTTACGAGAAGTTCAAAGACGGACATTTCCTGCTGACGTGGCTTCCAACCCCCTGCCTTCTTCTCTAACTGACGTATCCTTCTCTCATGCTGCTACTTTGCTTCCTGTTACCAAGGTAGGTAGTGTCCATAAAGTTTCTCTTCAAGATTGTGTGTTCTATGTGGACCCGTTTGAGTGAATAACATTCATGTGAGAAGAAGGATAACATACAAATGCTCGTTTCTATTTTTGCAGGCCCGGATAGGGCTTGAGCGCCGTCGATTCCTTAAAGACGCAGAAACTGCGGTACAAAGACAGGCCATGTGGTCTAATTTAGCCCATGAGATGACTGCAGAGTTCCGTGGTCTCTGTGCCGAAGAGGTACACGTTCTTCTTTTGTTGTAGGGGTACTCAGTTGTTTTGTGTGATTATAATATTATATCAGGCTCTTCTTGATGCATTTCATTTTCTGTTTCGTTGGCATCAGGCTTACTTGCAGCAGGAACTAGAAAAACTTAACGATTTAAGAAACAAAGTAAAGCAGGAAGGAGAAGTGTGGGATGACCTTGTGTCTAGCTCCAGCCAAAATTCTCATCTAGTTTCAAAGTCCACTCGGTTGTGGGATTCTATAATGGCTCGTAAAGGTAAGGTCTTATGCTGTTCTTTTCATTTTTCTGAGTTCAATGCAGAGAAACAGTACGTGGAATTTAGAATCATGCAGGAGACTTATATAGTTTAAGTATTTTTTTTTACTATCTTCAGGTCAGCATGAAGTTCTTGCGTCAGGTCCCATTGAGGATTTGATAGCTCACAGGGAGCATAGGTAACTGGCCTCTTATAACACACACGTGATTAAAATTTACTTCTTAATATACTGACATAGGGTTACCTTTTATCTGTAGATACCGAATTTCAGGGTCAGCCCTACTTGCAGCGATGGATCAGAGCTCTCAAGTTACTCGTGCAGAATTACTCTCTGCCCATTCAGTTGATTCAGCTCTGTCACTTGCAGATGACAAAGAACTAAGTGATGAGTCGTACGCAAACATGCATGATCAGCATTCTCTAGGAGATAGTTTTGAAACCAACTCACAAGCAAGTGATGAAACACTTTCTCGAGTAGATGACAGAGGTGGAAGAAACCAGACAGTTGATGTTGCGGAAATCATAAGGCGCTGGACACACGCATTGCAGCGTATTCATAAACAGTCTCTCCAGCTGGTATGTCTTCTCATATCTCTGTGGAGATATTTAAGTACTTTAAACAATTCTGCCTAATTATAAGCTTTATGTCATTGATTAATGCTCCACTATTTTTCTTTGCGAGGTGTTTAGTTGCATGGACTTGTTACTTATCTTTTACTTTTGAATTTTAGGCTAAAGCAAATGACGGGGAAGGTCCAGATATTTTGCGAACTGCAAATGATGGTGGTACAAGTGGGCATGTTGAATCATTGGCTGCAACTTTGACTGAACATCAACAGCATCTAGCTAGCTTTCAGGTAAATGAGTTCCTTGTTTGTTGACTTAGGTAGAAGTTCCATTTTGCCAACTGTGTAAGTCAAATGCAAAACGTAGAAATAAGATGCTTTTGTTGAGGGCTTGATAGAATTTATAGAGGAAACATAGCTTATACACGGCATCCGCTTCAGCAACAAAAAAAAAAAAAAAAATAGAAGTATGCTTTTCGGGAAATTCTATTTTATTTGTAAAAGGCAGTATGTTTTATTGGAGATTCCCGGAGTTCCATGAATAATTGTGTTTATTCTGATTCAGCTTCTCTTGGGGGAGTATAAAAGTTGATCGATGGAGTATTTGACATTTACCATACTGTTTTTAGGATCTCTTGGAGCATGCGTACAAAAACTGTCTTATGCATATAACTCATACTTTACTGGTTAAATCTCTACACCTTCTTACAGCTGATGGCACACTATATGCAGGTACTCATTAACCAATTAAAGGAAGTTTCTCCAGCCATACAGAAATCCATATTAGGATGTACTGAGAAGGTTAATAATCTTCCCCCAACTTTACCTCCAGCTACGAGAACTAACGGGCAAGCAGCTTCACTTCTACAATCTCAGGGGAGTGGGAGAATTTCGGTAACAGTTTGATTAGTTAACTTTTATTCTCTTCCGATTCATATTTGATAGAGACGCTCATGTACCTTTCCCCTCCCTTGTAATACAGGAAGGTGTATCCAATGATATTACTGAGCTGACCTCGACGATGTCTAATGTTCAGCTCGAGAAGGTCTCAGCTAGTCCCACGTTGAAGCTTCCACAATTATTTAGCTCCACTCCTACTTCTTCTGGTAAAGGTGGAAATGGACAAAAGCGACACCCAATGGCTACTCAGGTCAACAAAATGGAAAGCTTGTCTGAGAAGAACACTACTGACCAGCCACTGTCACAGACACGAGCAGACAACTTGCCGACTGGTATGTTGCATAACTACTTTCTCCACTGAAACGAAACTTGTATAGTATATCAAAAAGGGGCTTTCTTGAACTGTGATATGCCAATACCATTCACAGAGACCTTTGTCTTACAACTCTAATTTTGGTTTCAGATACCAACAGTTCTTTTGTCCAGAACCTGAAGAAATCCGTAAGGGAAGCTGCTCTATTGATCCCATCTTCAGCAGGATCATCACGGGACAGTCAATCCGATGAAGGCTCCGAGCATTACTTCGTACCTCTTTCAGGAGCGGGCTTTACCCGATTTCCATCAGAAACCAAAGGCCTGCCTCACAGAGGGTCGAGGCTACATACCTCTCTTAGCGAGCCTTCCTTTCTTGAGCCCACCAATGTTCCCCATAGCCTAGCGCCAAGCAAGTACAGCGATATACCTGACACGTTTGATGATCTGGATTCGTTTAAAGATTACGATAATGGGAACGGGTTTCTCTCAGTGGCTGGATCAAACAGTGTAGCTTCTGATGCACAACAATCGTTTTACGATGTTGAAGATCAAGTGTTTTCCCCACCATTACTAATGGACTCGTCCCTGTTATCAGATACCTACGAAGACTTGTTAGGTACGTTCATTATCCACTTTGGTGTTTACATGACATTAGTGTCACATCGTGTTGGAGTGTACTCTAATATTACTAGAACACATTAATCCGGTCATAGATAGAACAGTTCTGAGTATTTTCTGTAATCTTATGCATAGATCGTAATAGTACAAGCATCTAGGATTTAATTTGCTTTACTTTTGCAGCTCCTTTGTCAGAAACCGAAACTGCTTTAATGGAGCTTTAGGATGAAGAAGCCCTGAATCAGATAAAAGAAGATGGCACTTGTGTTTCTTCAACGATTGGTCTTAACACTGGTGTTTCTGTTATCATTACCAGTTAACAAAGGTGTTTCTCAGTTTATCATGGGTTTGTTGGTAATGGGATTTCATCGTGATAGACGAATGATGATTTGACTTTGCGTGTGTGGAAAGCCGCTACCTTATGTAGAAGCATCGCTCTCTAGTGTTTTGTTTCTCTGAAAAATACAGATTGTTTATTTTTTATTTAGTTCTTAGATGTAAAGTGAAGGAAATAGTGAAGAAAAGTTTGATCCTATGGCTATTCTATTATTTTTTTCCTATAAAATATTGATTTGATAACTATATAAAAGAACAAGCAATTAAGATTGAAATTAACCGGTGTGCTACAACAGATGTAATTACTCCATAACTAAAAAAATGTAATTTATTTGCTACATAATCTAATTATTATAAATCGGCTTAAGATAAGAATTTTAATTTGGTTTAAACAATTGTAAATTGATTAAATTTTTCTGAAATCAAGGTGGAGCCGAGCCGGAGCACCACCAAACCGTTTAACAAGCTTAAACCAAAAAGAACCACAAAACAATCTTACGAAAGCAAAGGGGAGGCCTGAGATGAAACGGACATGAGAACAATCCGGATAGAACACAAGAATGAAGAACACGAGCCCCAACCACCATATCCATGACCAGGTTCACCATGGCACACAAAAATGGAGAACACCCTCAGCGAACAAAACAACCATTGCAAAAGGAAATTCAAAGCCGGAAAGTTTAGAACACAATCCATGAGATAGGAAGAAGTAAGGATAGAGATCTGAGGAGACTCAACCCAGTTGCATCCGCCAAGCTTTCACAAAACACTCGCGAGGAAGATACGAACCTTGATATTTCTAGTTTCATCAGTTACAGCGACGTGTCCGTAGATTTTTCCAATGCTGCTACACAAATACAACGATATACCCAGACACGTTCGATGATCTAGGTTCTGGATCTCATTGCTGGATCAAAACAGTGTAGCTTCGAATGCAAAACCATCTTTATTTGACGTTGAAGACCACGTATTAACCTCACTTGTACTTTTGAAGTCGTCTCTATTGTCAGATACCTAAGTTGTTTTCTTGTTAGGTACGTTCATTATCCTCATTGGTGTCACATTATATAGGTTTAAAAGTGTATTCTAAATACATCATGTAGAATCTAGTGATTGCAAATTATATCGTAATTTTACATTGAGATTGATACTGTGTCTCGTTTCCTATGAATCGGATTTAAAATCCAAATCATAACAGAAAAACATACGTCCAATAGAGTTTTTTTTTTATTCACCAAATAAGATAAACAACAAAATGAAATTTCGATAAAAACAAAAAAAAACATTTAAATTAACAAATTTATAGAAACTGAACCAAAACAAGAAACGATGAATGTAGTGATGATGACTCAGTGGTTGAGACCAAGAACAAGAGCCATGGCAGCAAATGCCAATCCGGTTAACATGTTGGTGGTTGGAACGACGGCTGAGTTAGATGCCGGTCCCGGTGCCGGAGCTGGGCTGTGAACATGACCTTCGTGGCCGGAGACGGCTGCGAAGGTAGCCAATAGACAAAACACTGCGATCTGAACAAAAATCTTCTTCATCATCATTATCTTCGTTAAGAGTTGCGTTTTGCTTTGGTTTGAACTTTTGAATGAATGAGAGAAAATATTTGTTGCTGTTTGTTGAGTAATTTGCGAGATTTGTTTATATAGAGAGCTGAAAGTATTGATTTAAGATAGGGAATATTGAAATTTATTAAATAAGATTTTGTTCTTTTTATTTTGGGATTAAAATTAAAGATTTGTTTCTATTTTTTTTTTTTAATTGTCCGGCTTTGCTGCAATGATCAAGCCAGCTAATCAAGATTATAATTGATACTGTCTTCACGTTCCCTTGAGTGGCCAATAATTTGGATTCAAACAGAAAAATCAAAAAAGAAAGGGTGAAAATATTTTGCAAAGTTAGAAAGTTTATGAAATGAATTATTGTTTCCCATCTTTATCATCAATTGAATTAATGTTTATTGCCTCTTTTAGTTAGCCAATGAAGGGTAATATTAGCTTCATAAATATATAAAAAATCTTTGATTATGATTATTATTGGTTCACAGAATTATTAGCTGTGTTTAATTTTAATATGATTTGTAAAAATAGACGTGGAGCCAATTCGTTATTTATTTTAAAATTTGATAGTAAAACTGTACACGCGTTATATTTAAATATAATAAGCTCGTATTTTTCTCAGGATTAATAAGAAGAAAAAAAACATACTCGTTTTAAGTGAGGAAAGATCTAAAACCGTTACTTTGCTTATAATTCTGAAGAGAATCATGTTAGTTGCGAATGTGGCGCATTAAACGCTGATAAATATAATTTGTGTTGAATAGCAAATACCATATTTGGGAAAATAATCAGTACTAAAACCAGTATAATATCTCAACCCAACAAACACTGTAATATAGGCTTAGCTAGCCATGTGGGAAACAAAACGCAGACTTGATGATTATGATGATGTTTGGACTTTGGTGTAATGTAATCATACAAAACACAAGAAAATCATATTATGATAATTTGTGAATTGGTAATCAATAATCATATCATCACTATCATGTTTCTTCTTAGATAAAACAATATTAGAAACATATATGTCTTGACCTATTATTTAAATTATTAGTAAAAAGTACAGACTTGATTTTTTTTATCAGGAAAATATTATTTTGCTAAATGGAGTTATCTTTTTTTTTTTTTAACTGTTGAGTTTCATAAAAGGATAAAAAGAGCAAAAGCTCTTGTATCAAACATAAACATCAAACACCAAATAAATTCAAGCAAAAACCCCAATAACATAAACCGAGCCAACCACTCATTCATGACTAAACAAACTCATGTTCTCAGATTTTGCACTGTAATACATGTTCCTTCTATTTCGCCAAGTAAAGCTCTCCGCATCGCAATGCTTATTGTGTCGGCTTGACCTTTCATAAGTGGAGACAGAATAAAGCGTCCATAATAAAGACTCTTACTGTCTCTTCTTGATTCAACACACTTCCACTGTAGTGTCCGAGTAGATACTTTGACTTTCTCTCGAACCATAGTAATTTTATTTGATCAGATCATTGAATCATTTATTTCTCTTGAAATCCTTTCAGCCTTTATTTAGTTCTATACACGTCGTTTTTAGGGGGTCTACAACCATTTTCCACCAAAAGATTGCATCTTCAAAAGCACCATGGCCCCTCATCCCACAGTCCGACCACAATGAATGCCTCATATGCTTACTCTTTCTTCCTCAAAAAACTTTTTCATCCATTTGGGATCCCCTTGTGCAACATATGACTGTACCCTCCGCTCCATCGTCACACTTCTTACAATTAAGAAAGCTCCTCTGTTTTTTTCTCTTGTAACCGCCTGCAACTCCCACTCACTCAACCTCTGTAAAACACAAAGAATCTCCACTCCGAAACCCCGAAAGGCCGGCCCTGCACGAGGCCTCAAGATCACACCCACTAGTTCAGGAGCTTCCACCTCAAAAACCACTTTAGTGATCTTATGTGAAGCCATGCTTTCATTCGCCCAAAGTAAAGTAAGATGTTTAGCTTCCAATAATGAGCAGATTCCACTAAAGGCTCTTCTACTGTGTAATACAACCACCCCACCGCTATTTCTCACAACCCATGATGTCCCTGCTAGTTTCTTGCGTTTAGACCACTCCACACCTATATTACATTTTAGAAACCCCTCGCTAGGAGCTTGCCACTTCCGCACCTGAACCTTCCTTCTGGCGCAAGCTTTCTCACTATTTGCATGGGAGAGATGAACATCAAACCATTGTCTTACATCATCATGGAATTTCTCTACCGTAGCCTCCACTTCAAATGTTTTCCCTTCAAACATAAACGCATTTTGATTTTCCATAGCATCCATAGGACCCATGGATAGACCCGAGAAATAGGTTCAGGAACTTCCTTCCTCGACGTGATATCTAGTAGATAAGCAAAGTTCTCAAGTAAGGACTGATTCTCAAAACCCCTAATAGGAAAAGGGAAGCCAATGTTCGCCCATAATAACCTTGCCAGAGGGCAAACAAAGAAGATTTGATTTATCGATTCACTCGAAAATCCACACCTTTGACATCTTGGATCGACCTTCATCCCTCTAGCAATCAACTCATCAGACACAGAAAGTGCATTCGATAGAGCTCTCCATAGAAAGATTCAGATTTTTGGAGCTGTGTTTACTTTCCACACTTTGCTCTTAAGCTCGTTCAAAGATGGTCTTGTCATTGCTTCTTTCCGCACCATCGACTGATCCAAGGAGCTTGCAAGCCAGTACCCCGACTTAACTGTGTAAGGCCCCCATCTGTTGTGTACCCATTCATAAGCATCCTTCTCCCCCAGTGCAGGTTTTTGTTTCAAGATCAGTTGAATGTCATTATCAAAAACAATTTCCTCCAGCTTCCCCGATCCCATGTTCTGGTTTGAGGACATATTAAATCACTCACACACAGGTCCAAATCAAAAAGAACAGGTTTCCTTAATGGCGCCTTTGGAGCTTCCTCAAACAACCACTTATCCATCCACACATTGATATCTTCCCCTGATCCAACATTTCTGCGCAACCCTTTTTCCAGCAATGCCCGACCAAAGATGATATTTCTCCAAGCATATGATGGTCTAGCCCCTAGACTAGCTGATAAGAAATCACCATTAGGGTAATACCGACTACGCAAGAACCTTGCACCTAAAGACTCTGAGTTCATAAGCAATCTCCATCCTTGTTTGGCTAGCAATGCTTGATTAAACTTCTCCAAATCTCTAAAGTCAAGACCACCATTCTTTTTCTCTATACACATTTTTTCCCACGAAACCCAATGAATTTTCTTTTTGCCTTCTTGAGCATTCAACCAGAAATTGGTCATTGCACTAGTAAGATTCTGACAAGTAACCTTTGGAAACTTAAAAACTGTCATGGCATAGACCTTCAGTACATAAAAACTGTCATGGCATAGACCTTCTGCACTAGTAAAATTGCAAGCCAGTAATTTCTCCTCTGCGTTCTGCCTCATTGAGCTGATGCGATAGACCTTCAGTACATAAATCAAAAAGAAAAAGTGATAAGGGGTCTCCCTGTCTTAACCCTCGACCTGGTCTTATCAAACCTTTAGCTTCACCATTGATTAACACAGTATATGAAACCGACCGAACACAAAACATAATCCAGCCACGAAACGTTTGGTGAAAACCAAGAGCTTTCAGTAACTCCTAAAGATACGTAGTTCCACTCAATTCTATCATAGGCTTTTGACATGTCAGTTTTTGTTGCCATGTACTCCTTGGAGACTTTGTCATGTGATCTCAGTCCATGAACCACCTCATGTGCAATTATGATATTATCAGAGGTCAATCTTTCTGGGACAAAAGCTGACTGGGTAGGCGAGACAATAAGCTCCAGTAACAGCTTCAGTCTAGCCACCAATATTTTCGATATTATCTTATACATGACTGAGCATAAACTGATGGGTCGAACATCCACCATTAACGTCGGGTTTGGGATCTTAGGTATGAGGCATATTTGTGTGAAATTCCATTCTTCAGGGAATACACCCGTTGCAAAAAAAACCCTCACCTCTCGAATCACATCAGAGCCAATGATCTCCCAATACTGTTGAAAGAACAATCCATTCATACCATCACTTCCTGGTGCACTGGAAGGTTTGATATCAAACACTGCATCTCTGATTTCTTCTTCAGTCACTTCCTTGATCAAACTTCGATTCATTTGTTCTGTCACCTTTGGTTCAAAACCAAGGAAGAACCCGTTTGTTTCACTCCTACCATTTGTCGTAAAGAGCTTTTCAAAATACTCAGTAGCTACTTTTCCAATCTGATCGTTTGAGGAAGCAACACCACCTGCATCATCAATAAGCTTCAAGATATGATTGCACTGTCTAGATGCTTTCACAGACGCGTGAAAAAAAACTTGTGTTATTATCTCCAACCACGAGCCACTTGTCCCTGCTCTTTTGCATCCAGAAGTCTTCTTCCTCCTTAAAAGTCTTTGCAATCTTAAATTTCAATTCTTGGATCCGTATAAAATCAGGGGAAGTTGAGGAAGTTTCTAGCTCTAGCTCATCTCTGAGTTGCTGTAGCATCACATTTGAGTTATGATTATTTCCCCGCTTCCACTTGCTTAGTGATTGCCCAACATCACCAATTTCTTCTCAAAATGGAAGCACTCCTCACCTCACCAGACCTTCTCCAAGACTCATTTATAGTCTCAGCCACTCGCTCTTTTCCAACCATCCAATTATCAAACCGAAATGCCCCTCTTCTGTTCTCATTCTTGTTAACTAGGTACACCATCACCAGCCTATGATCTGATCCTAGTTTCTCCATAAATTCCTGAGACGCTTGGTAAAAAACCCTCCCCCATCCTTGTTCGCGAAGCATCTATCCAATTTGCACTGGATATATTTTGCTATCTATTCCCGGCCCACGTAAAACCATCACCCACACCAGTAATCTCAGCCATATCACAACCCTTCAACATATCAGCAAACTCCATAAAGGTTGCATCACTCCGTTTAGGGCCACCAATCTTCTCCTCATTATTCAAAATGTCATTGAAATCTCCTACCATACACCAAGACTCCATCCTCCCTGATTCCAGCCTCATCAATCGTTCCCATACCTTCTCTTTTCCTATCTGACTCGGTTCACCATACACGAAAGAGACAAAAAAAATTCCGACCACCATACACAATCTCACAATCAAAAACATTTTTATCAGCAAACTTCACATCCACGCTTACTTCTTTCTTCCACAATAAAGCCAGACCACCACTCAGCCCAATCGGCTCAACCAAAAATACCTTATCATATCCTAATTCTAACTGCAAATCCACTACAACTTTTTTTTTCGTTTCCATAAGAAAAATCATCTCCGGGAAATATTTTTTACGTATTTCCTTTAGACGGAAAATTGTCAAACCGTGAGACCGTGCCAAGCCTTGATCCGGCAGTCCCCCTTTGGGATCACCTCTGAGCTGGTATGCCTAGCGATTTTTGTAAAGTTCCCTGCAACCTCCTCTGCCCTTCTCTTTACCACCACATTGTCTGATACATTATCATCAGAGCCTCCACCAGCAGTAGTATCTCCAACTGGTTTAGCCTTAAACTTTCGCAGATTCTTAGGAGGCCTTCTACGAGCCCCTCCCATGAAACTTGATGTCCCGGAAGAGCTAGCATCAGCATAGCCGACACTAAAACCCATTGAATCACCAAGAGAAACATTCAAAGGCGCCTGTAGATGTTCTTTTCTCTTAAAGTTTAGCTTCTCATAAGGCACTAAACTCAAATTATAAGCCTCCTTTTCTCCTCTCCTCTCCTCTGCAGATTCTCCTAGTAATCAAATGTCAAGCCTTTCTCCTTGTTCACATCTGAGATAATCAGAGGAGCTGATTCAAGCCTCAAGAATGCTTTCTGCCCACGAGGGTCCTTCTCTAGATCAAGAACTGACTTCCTCACACGTTCTTCACGCACACGTTTTTCCCCTCCTGCTGCAAGAAGATACTCTCTCATATTTTGTAGCACCTCGGAATTAATCCTCCTTCTTCCTGTGTTCTTGTCAAACCCTACTTTCTCTTCAGATAACACACCAAAGAGAGGATCGTTTCTCTGAATACAGAGTTCTTGACAATTCAGCTCTGCCCTAATTTTTGTTTTCCGAGCTTCAGCTTGATCCCTTCTCGCCTGAATGATCAAAGGACATATATCTTTGTCATGCGTGAGCCTCTGAAAATTATAGCATCTCTTCTGAATCCTTTCAAAATCATATCGAATGGTAACTGAATCTCCACCAGGTAAGTTGATTACTTTTTCCTTCCTTACAGGTCTCGAAACGTCGAAAAAAACTCTAACTCGTACGTAATCATGGCTCCGAGCTTTACTTGGGTCAAAAGCCACCGTATCAACCTTCCCTATCAATTCCCCAAAAGCGGTAATTGCCTCTTCGGTGTAGTGATTAACCGGGATATTTCGGATCAGCACCCACACTAGCAAATACTTGAGGTAGTCTTCAGGCGGCTTCTCTACCCATCGATCTATTACAATGATCCACTCATTAAAGGTCCACACACGTTTCCTCATCACTTCTTCAAGATCATGTTCGTATTTGAACACAAACTGGAAAGTCGTCTTAGAAAGGGCAATCCCTTCCACTCTATCATACACTTGCCACTTTCTTGGCATGTCTAATATCAGGTCACTAATCTTCTGAATTTCGGGTTTAAAGTTCTCCCCATGATACTCATCTTGTTCCTCTGCAAAGCACTGAACTGGGGCAAGTCCGGTAAGTCGAACGGTACTTCCTCCTCCTCCATTGACATAGATTCGAAAACCTTGTTAATATTCATAATGAAAATGACAAAGTTTGCACTCACTCCTCGTTCTTCAAAACCTTACTCAAGAAAAAGACGGCGGCTACTGAAAGCCCTAGTTTTTAGTGAAAAAACACAATATTCTCATAGATCTTCACCCAAATTTTTTTAGAGATTTTCTGTTTTTGTGTGATACAAAAGAGGAAAAAACCCACTCAATAGCCCTACTTTCCTTAACAAGAAAAGATTCTTGAATGAAAAGAGAGAGAACTTAAGCCCAAAAGAGGGAGTCAAAAAAAGTTGATTTATCGTGTGGAGTTATCCTTTTTTAAGAAAGCATATTTTGCTGATTTATTATAATATTGTAATTATAAAAAAAATTATATACACGATTCGACAACCGCTAATAATATCTAATACAATAAAGTTGACTATTCTCCCTTCTTAGGTGTCCACCTCAGATTTTTAGAGGGGGGCAAAAAATGACATGTCAGCAGTTAGTCATTTAAATCAATCCAGAAAAAATAAATTCTTGCGTCTCGGTTTGTACTTGGTTTATAATACCGGTTTTCTTAATTTTTGATGTTGGACTGGGCGTGGGTGTGTTAACGAGATATACTAAAGGCCCACTAATATTTTTTTTGGTCATTCTTGGTTCTTCATTAGGTTGGTAGCTAGCTGACTCCTCCTGGAAATCACCGCAGATACATGATCTCTACACCGTAACCGCTCCTCTTTTCATTAATTCCTTATTAACTCTGACCTCTTCATCCTTATCACAGTGAGAACCATTTACTTCATCTCTTGGACTCCCACCGAAACTGTCTGCAACTTTATTATAAATAAGATTTCGTCCCTGCGATGAATAGCCTCAATGCAACCAAATCCCAAAGTTCAATCACTATTAAACATCAACTCTACAAGTAGAGAATTCTTACACTTTTCTTGCTGATTTGAACACTCTGTTCAAACACCGCCTAATTCCTCCTTCTGAGGCTTTGGGAAGCAAGGAATGTCAATTGACGGTGTGGCATTGGTACTTTATTTCAGCTGTGGTGGAAGATGGGGAAGAGATGGTGGAGGCACGTCGGAAGTGAGTGAGGAATTTGTCTGGGTCACGGTCGTGGAATTTACTGTGGCAACCGCAGGCGGCACATCTGAGAGAAGTTCGATCAGAAGATGTGAAGGTAGGGGCATGAACTCGCCGCAAACGTCGAGCGTGTGACCTCCAATTGCAGCCACGTGGTTCTTGAAGCATTTTTTTCTTTTTACGTGACAGTAGTTGAGTGGTGGTGGATGTGGCGGCTGCGTTTGATGATTCCTTTGCTGAAGGAGATTGGTTTAGCTGGTTGGATTTGGGTCGGAGTTTCCGATTCGGGTTCGGGATATTTAGTGGGGTTTTTAGGAGTCATATCCATTGCTCCGACTTCAAGCATCTATGGTATTTATTTATTTCCAAGCATCTATTTAGCTCTTAAGAACGCCGTTGCTTTGTGAAGATCTGATCAAATATGATTTGTTTCTGGATGTAGATAATTTGCATATATATTCCATGTATAATAGTAAATTAATTATCTTTTACTGTTAGAATTGTTACCAAAGTTTTAAATTTTGTAGGATTCTCTCATGCTTCAAGCTGAATCCGTTTGAGCATCTTACCTATCTTTAAACGGCAGTACACAAAGGTATTCTTCCGTTTTGTCAGATTGTGAAAACATTTTAATTTGGCTAATTATGATTCTTTTTTTTTCTTTTCGAAATGACTAATTTGGATATTTACCAGATATCTTTGATGGTTCATCCTGACAAATCAAGCATCCACAAGCACATGAGGCTTAAAGAGGTTAGTAGTCTTAAACGTATTGGTTTGTTTGGATGAGCTTGTCATGTTAATATGGTTTTTTATGGAATGCAACAAGAATTACTAAACTACAGTTTTCTTGGGCTTCGTTGGTTTGGAAAGAAGTCTCTGTCCCGAAACAGTCTATTTTGGTCTGGCTGTTTGTTCTTGGTCGAAATCCCACTCTGGATCGTCTCCAAAGATGGGTTTAGATGTTGAAACTACTTGTCTGCTCTGTGGGGCTCAACCTGAATCAAGATACTATTTTTTCAAATGCTCCGTATCTTCTACAATCTGGAGCCGTGCTCTGTTGAAGTTAAACTTTTCTCAAGCTCCACTTGACTAGGATTTAATATTGCAGTGGTTACCTACTGCTTCTCTCTATCCGGTTTCCTCTGGAGCTCTGATTCAACTTTAACATGGTACCATTTATGGTTTATTGACTGAAAGAAATAGACGCTTCAAGCTTGGCCTCTCAGGGACGAAGCGACAATTCTGAGCATCACTATTTGGATGATCAAAAACAAATCAACTTCCCTGAGAAATCTAGGGTTTCGTGATAATCTCTTCTCTCAATGGTTGGGTATCTGTTTATCTAAAAGTTTTTTCTGTCAATAGACATAAGAATGCTTTTTTTTTCTTATTTAAGTTAACTACGCATTGGACACATGAGAATCTTTCATGAATTCATTTCCACAATAGATTTGTTTTCTCTATTTTTTCTTTTGGTTTGTTATTTATATTTTATATTTTTTAGGCTTGAGAACACTCTGAATTATGTTCTCAAGAGAGTTTGGACCATTGGATACATAATGTTGGGGCCCGTGAGTTTCTGTATTTCTGCGTCCTCGGTTTATGTTTCTATATGTCAATCTTTGTTAGATTACTTTCCATGAGTAGATGTTCTATCTTGGTAGAATCTTTGTTTCTGATTTGTTCTTAGCTCTCTTCTGAAATTGACGATTTGGAGAGCAAATGCCGGTTAGGATTGCTGAGAGCTATTGCGGGATCAGTGTTGTACAAGAACATCAACAACGAATGTGTTTGCATTTTACAGGGTTGCGCTTGGATTTGAGGAACCATCACAATTAAACCTACTGCCTAGACCAAAGAATGATCAACTTCCAATTTCAAATATCAGCAGACTACTAAAATTAATCACGATTATTACATCCCTACAATATACCCATTCATATTAAGTAAAACCATAGAATGTGTGCCCTGCACGTCAAAATTATAGAGCCACGACCACCTGATAACGCAATAGGCCACCCAAACTCATAAATAGTCCAATTTGATTTGCTAAAACATTAGACCCCCCGAAAATCACAAAAACACTACAAGTTAATAAAAGCCCAGACACGTCTAAGTAATAATATAGTGAAATTAATTAGAATTGTTACAAGTTTTTAAAAGGGATAATTTGCAAAATATCCTATTAGGATTTGAAATCTGGAAAAATACTGTTTTTTTTTTCAATTACATTTACTCATATGTAAGAAGACTTTTGGCCCATATACTGATGATATTCAAATATCAAATATTTCAAAATATACTGACATTTAATTATTAATTCCTTAAAAATAAGTGTTTTGCATGCACTTGAGAGCTTAATAATTTTACCAAAAAAATTGTAAATATATATATACTAAATGAAAAATTTATCAAAATAAATTATTTTCATATTTTCATATAATTTAATAACTAATTAAATATTAAAATTTCAATATGATAAAAATATTTTAATAAAATACATTTTACTGTGTAAAATAAACTTGAAAAATTTATATATACTTAAAACTATATACATGGATTTATATTTATTTTACATATATTTAAATGATGTAAAATATTTTTGGATACATAATATATAAGATTTTGGATAATGATGATTATAAAATTAATGAAATTTGTTCTAAATTTGTGGGTAATTATATATTAAAAAGCTAATCTAATTATTTATTATAGATGATAAAGACTTTAAACGCTCTAACTATTAACGTGAAAGCAAAAAAAAAAAAAAATTCTTCACAAATAATAATATAAATATTTTTGATATTTTTATCATATTTTCAGAAAAATATCATAATGAGTGATTTGGATTTTCCTAAAAATTATCTTAAAATATAGATAATTTATTTTATCTTATGTGTATATATATATATATATTAAATAGAGTTTGTTTAATATTACTAAGCAAAATATAATATAAACATATATATAATATTTTAATATTACTAAAAGATATGTAATATAAATTAACTATGATATTATCCTTAGACTGTTTTTAATTATTCTCAAAATAAATATAAATTATCAGCTAAATCACTAAAAATATTTGTTAAAAGTAATAGTTGAGCACAAAATATGTCGGTTTGATAATACTAAACCAAATATAATACAACATATATATATATATATAGTATTTTAGTATTACTAAAGTAAATATAATATAATTTAACTATGATATTGTCCTTAGATTTTTAATGATTTTCAAGATAATGATAAATTATCAGCTAAATCACTAAAGTTTTTTTATTAAAAAATAATAATTAAGCATAAAATATGAGTAAATCTATAATTATGGGAAATATGACAGATAAGAAATTCATTTCTTAAATAATAATATTGAACATAATTTTTAATTATCTGGGACATTTGATGATGTACTTATTCTATTTGTTTAGTTAGGATGTCTAATTTATCGGATGTAGAACCACAAAATATAATAGACTACATTGATGATATTTGTTTTTTTTTTCTACAACCTAAATGTGAATAACATAAGAGGAGATACAGATGGTTAAGTCCAGGCTGCCACATGTAGACACCATAAACTCATCTTCTTTTGTTTCGGAACATAAATGATGTTTAATCATGTTTCTGTTAGTTTTGACTCTCCAAAACATATGAATCCACTATTAGAATCTCTTCGTATGGTATGGATAAGAATATGATTTGCTTCAACATTTTTGATTCATTTTGCAAGATGCGTAACAAAAGCCAGTAAAAATATAGATGATTATTTTTAATAAAATAAAAATGAGTTTGTCTTCTACCTAAGAAAAATGCTACACCAAATCAAACCTTCAGATTTTGTGAATATTAAACATAGCGACTTTGAAAATTTGACGTGGTAACAAGTTAGATAAATAAGATCACTGTGAATTAAATAGAATAGATAGATTCAAAGGAAAAAAACTAAACCCAAGATCTCTCCTGATAGGATAAGTCATAGTTTTGTGTACTTATAAATAAGTATAGTTTTCAAAAGTTATAACAAATTTCATATTTCTCAAATATAATCTTATTTAAATGTATTTTTCTAAATTGTACCTTTTTAAAATGTCAATTTAAATTTTAATATATAAGGTATTAACAACTCTCTCACCTTCAAATTTAAAAGTATAATGACTCGGCCGGTCCAAATATTTTGCTTAATATTTACAGATATATTGACACTTGATCTTCATAAATCATAATGTGACCCCATTTACACCAATAGCTAATACATTGTATGCATTACACATTATACAATTAACATACAAATTGCTACATCAGTTTGAATATCAAACTAGACAAATTACCACCGAAAACTGACCATATCTAAATAACTCAAAAATAAATAATCCGCGCGTAGCGCGGACATACCACTAGTCTATATTATAAGGATATGCGTTTAACTGCATCACATAAGTTAACCTATGACAATCTAATTTTGACCAGATTTACTTATACTATGTTGGAGACTTTTTGTAAGCTTTTGCATCACCTGAGTTGTCCTATAAAAATCCGCGTATGAACATGTTTAATTGTATTATATTGAAGATTTTTTTTTGTAAGTGTTTTTTTTGTAGTATGCATAATTGCTTAATAAATCATTTTTTGAAAATTAAAACATAGACCTCATAGTATAGAAGTATTAAATGAACTCTAAGTTAAATCACTCGACTAAAGAACACACAAAAATTAGAGTTATTTATGTTATGTCGTTCACCATAAAAATTTCATAAAAATAAAATAAATAGGGGAATTTTTTTTGCAAAATAACCAAGAAAAAAAAGAAATTTAGATTTTGGGAAAGAAAGTATAGAAAAATAATAAGAAAAATAGGAGAGATGGGGAAATTTTAGTTAGTTTGTGCATTTGTGTTTTTTATATATATAAGATGGAATCTCTATAATATTATTTGAAGTCAGTTTCCTATGTGTCGCTCTTATGTTCACTTTGACGATGGTTGATTACACTGATACCCTTAATAAGTTAAAATAGTTAAAAACAGTATTATTAATTCTTTTATTTATTTTCCTTTTCAAAATTTCCAAAAATATATGTAATAAAAAGGAAATTAGTTATAAATTCATAAAAAAAACAAATTTAAAACGAAAAATATATGTATATATAATATGATTTCATAAAAAGGAAAGTTCACAAAATAGCAATAATACATTTAAAAATATTTTTAAAAATAACATTAAAATACACTTTTTAGTAATAAAAATAGTTTATAATTAGTATTACTGAATTTTTTTTTTATTTTTTTCATATATTTAGTTGACTATAATATCTTTCAATTACATAAAATTATCTATAAATTATATTTCACTTACATAATATTATTTTCAAATACAATCACAATTTTGTGTAGTGCTTATTTTTAAGAGATGTTAAAACCTACAAATAAATTTAACAATAAACATCGTTTGATCAAATTATTAACATTTGGTTTAATGAGCTAGATATATGATATTTTATTATTATTAAAATTATATGCTTTCTTAATATTAAATTTTCTTTTAAATTTTGTGTTTTATGTTTGTGAAACTAAATATAACCATAATCAAAATATCAAAGCAAATCTGAATTCCCAATTTTAAAATTATTTAAAATAAATTTTAGTTTACATTCAATAAATCTAAAGCATAAAGTTATTTAGAATTTATAAATATTTTAATTATTGTAAATATTGATATGTGTTATGATCTTCTAAAAATGTATCAACTACTTATGCATGTAACCTTCTATTGATCATAGGATAACTCAAGAATATTAACAAATGAAAATAAATATTAACCAACTTTTACAATTTTAGTTCTTGTGTAAAATTTATATATATGCATGAGACTTTAGAATATTATCGTTATATTAATTTACGTATTTTGGAATCAGACACTTTAGTTAATTTTTAATTCATTCTAAGCACAATATATCTTAATTTATACATAATTTTCCTAAAATATATTTATATATCTAAGACAACACCCACTATATGCAAATAAGTGATTAATTAAAAATTAATATATTTTAAAAATATTACAGTTGAATTCATACAATCCAATTTATCCAAATGATAACTAAATCAAGCGCAAAAACAACAAAATCGACTAAATATAACATATATAAAATTATAGTATAATTAAAGTAGTATAATATTTTTAATATAAATGATGCATACAAATTATAAATTATATTTAAAATTAAAACTAAATAGTAATCAATTATTATCATATATTTCCTTTTAAAATATTTATAGCCGTGCATGAGCACGGGAAAATCACCTAGTTTCTCAATAAATAACTACCACAATTTATCCTTTTTCTCTTCTGGCTATTTTTTTTAAAAGCCATGAGCTTATTTGAGGTATGAATCTGATTGGTAATGTCTGTAGTTTTGAAAATTTGTTATAAAAAACGTGTATATTTTTTATTGTGACTTCAGATTTTATATATGTAAGATTTTGATTGTAGAGTTTTAATTGTACTTTTAAACAATGGAAACATAATCTAACACTATTTAAAGGGCTTAATAAATTCCTCTTAGAGTGTCCACATCAGATTTTATATTCAACCAATCATGTTATAACGTTTTGCCACGTCATAACTGATTTCGAAAATTGGGCTTTAAATAATTTCTGATCTATCAAGATAATTTTGATGGCCCATCAAGCCCACTTATGGAAAGAATGTAACCTTCGCACGCAAGATCCCTCTTCCTCATTTTCTCCAAATCCTAATTACGTAGATCATTCGTGAAACCCTTTCCTCTTCCTCTTCTTCAATTCCATTTCACGATCTGATATACAGTCAATCAATACACACTAGCTTGATCCTCCACTTCTTCTGATACGTTCCTATTTTCCAATTTCTTCATTGTGGTCATTTATCCACTTTACCAATGCGATCATGCCAAGAATGAGCAAGGCTGAGACGGTAAAGTCATGGCGGCAATAGAGCTATGGAGACATTGGAGTTTGATTTTATTCAAAGTCTCATCTTTTACCTTCAAAGAAACTGATTTAATTGTTTTTTAAGTCAAGAAATTTGTTAATTATAGTAATTAATTTATTTAATTTCCGTTTTATATATATGTTTTAGAGTTTCGGTTAAAATGAAACGGCAGAGCCAAGGTAGAGAAGAAGGAGAAAGGATACGATCCTCTAATTTCACAGAGATACGTAAAGGATACTGCTCATGTTCCGATACCATAGGAGGATGAGGAATATGACGACGATGATGATTGGTCTAAATATTACTGGTGGGAAGATGAAAAGCTACTGAACACGAAACATCCAATGGTATTGACTGCGATTGAGGAAATGAAGTAACTGCAAAAGCAATTCGAGATGTATAGCCATTTCGGAGAAAGAGAAACAATCAAGGTTCTGGGTTTGAGGACGCAGATGGACGCTTCATCTCCAGCGACGGCGTTTTAAATTTTGATTATAACTTTGTTATTTGCTTTGCCCTAAATTATATATATATATATATATATATTAAGTTGCTAATTTCAAATCAGAACTATGTTTACATTTGATTATCTTATGGATTCTCTGTTGTAGAGCTAAAATAATGTTCTATATAAATATATGTAGGTGATAGCCGTGAAAGCTGCAAGGAAGGCCATTGATGAAAGACCTTGGCCTAAGCAGTGGGAAAGATTTGTTCTCAAAATCCAAACCCTTCTAAAACTTAATAATTTTTTTTGACAATTCATATTATAAAAATTTTTCCACGTTTGCTATATTTTGTAATTAGTCTCTTAAATTTTGATTTAGATTTCTGTTGCTACAATTTTTGATGGACTTATTTTGATGTAGCTTTGAAGCTGAGTAGAAGGCAAAGAGGCCGGGGATGATTCAATAAAATGATCCCAACTTCTGCCACATGGTTAGGTAAGCATCAAGACCTTTGTTTGAACTTGAAATGTTTCGTTCATTTTTCAGTTTTAGATGTATATGCTTCAGCTTTTTCCTTGAACATGTATGGAACTAAGTAATTTACAATTTGTGGTTGCTACAACAAAACAAAGACACAAAATCAGAATTTATTTCTACTGTAGGTTCATTATAAAAACCTTTTTGAAGTGAATGGCCAACGGCATAATCAAGCAACATAGTTGTAGTATATGTAATCTATAAGTAATATGTCATTTGTTGTGGGGAAAAGAATGACTGTACACATGAGTAACATTATCAAAGTTTTCTTTTATTTTAGATCATGCAAGATCCTGATACCCAACAACTCACGTGGTTTCAGTTCATCAGCTAGGCTCCCCTGACGCACTTCATGCTGCTATATATTGAGGTAGTTCTATTTTCTTTTAGCTTCTTTCTTGGTTACTACTTCTATCAAATTGGCTACCATAAAGATTTCCAAACTCCCAATATGTTTCACATAAATAGCTTCTCTATCAACTAATCCTATGAATGTATATTGCACGGAATGGCCGTACAATATCTCCGTAATTGTCAAATAACAGTCTCTTAAGCTTACAAGGAAGACACCAAAGACGAGCACCTACAAGTCAGTAATCATATCTTAAAACCTCTACAATGTTTAAATGCATTGGTCTTCGAAAACCAAACCTGAATAGTGAACATTCACAACGTCTAAGAACACTTCTATGCAGGAATCTATGGTGTATCTTACTGTGTATGACAGGCTGTATTATTAACTAATTAAGTGTAGATACACCACAATTAAAAATTCTGACTATGTCCCTTGCTGTGTTGAAACCAATGAGAAGATGAAAGCTTCAGTAAACAAATTTGAGCTGTAAGGTCAAGATCCAAGCGATTAAAGGAGAAGCTCACTTCATTGTGTTCATAGAACATTTCAGAAGCTGCAAAGGAAGGGAGAAGTGACGAAGTAGAACTTGATTGGGACAGCTACGAAAAAGCAAACAAGAGATTTCATCTGATTAGCTTAAATTGGCAGAAAAAAAGAAATAACAAAGGAACAAAACAAGATGAGATCAGAAGAAGCCGCACACGTCAAGACAGAGAAGATGAGGAAAGTTGTGGAAAGAAAGAAAAAACATCGAGAGAGAGAGAGACCAGATAAAAAGGACTGAAAAATAATACAGAACAAGGTGAATGTAACAACTTCACATTCTAAAATGAAGAAGAGACTCACAAAGGTAAAAGAAACTATTCCTTGGACGCTTAAGACAAGATAAGAAACTAACTTGATGATTATTTGGTTTTGTATATTTGACTTCCTAGATTGACAAGAAGAAAACAAGTCTTGGTAACATCGCTGTTGGAAAGGATATGGTGGTTTCAATTACAGCTAAGCTGGAGAAACTGAACTTGAACTGATAAGGAAAGAAAGAAAAAGATGAGATATTTCACTTGCTGATCAGATCCAAGCTGCCAACAACCAACGAGAAAATGGTTTTCCATCAAAATTTGTTATTAAATTTTTCGTGTATGGAACTCAGTAATACAATTTGTGTTTGCCTTTAAACTAAGATCAAACTCTGTTTTTTGCTATATTAAAGCAAAGACACAAATAAGAATTTATTTCTACTGTAGGTTTCATATACAAAAAAAATTTTGGAGTGAATGGCAAACGGCATAATCAAGCAACATAGTTTAAACAAGGATCCTATTAGGCAGCTCATAATGTGTCTTTTCCCTATGTCTACAGCTGTGTGCGAGTCATCTAAGCACTGCTCAGTCCCTCAATTCCAGTGTTCATGCCAGGTCAGTCCCAAGTTTAATCATTGTTTGCAGCTTTTGGTATTTCTCAGTTTACATTTTTATATTTTTTGTTCAAAAACTTTCCCAGCCAATTAAGTTGAATGACATTTTTTTATTAGCATTTCTAAACATTTTTATCATGATGAAATCGACCTGAGATCAATAGCCCCATGGACCAACAGCATTGAGAGGAACTATGTACTCACTCGCTTCAAAGCTAACAACAAATCTCTAGGGTAGTTTCTGAACTAATCTCCTAATCATATATCTATATTCTAACTTAAATAATGAAAAAAATGAACTGGACTAGGGTTTGGTCAATGTGTTAAAATCAGATACAAGAAACACATCAGATATGAATCATGCAAGCAGGAAAAGAGCCAGGGGAAGTTCGCTTATCGCCAAGGCAGATCCATGATGATGATATATTTAGATAGAAGTTAAGTTGGGTTGCTTTTTGATTGTATTAGTTATGTAACTTTCAAATTTACTCTCTTCATATTTAAATGACTCTTTCCTTGTATTCATCGTCCCTTTAAGTTAGGCTTCAGACACTTAAATCACACAGACACAGCTAGGATTTGCGGTCTCAGTAGCATTGGGGTTGGAATTTTGTGATCGAGTACTCTCCGCAGGCCAGTCTCCCCTCACTACTCTTTGGTACGATCCATTTCATTACGTAGAAAGCCGCATTGTCTCAGTGTCTCATGGATCCCAGTAACCTTGGACTTGAAAAAGAACAACAAATTCAAGAAATAAGGAAGACCAAAAGTTGTGTTATGCTCTTTTGGTAAGTTTACTTTTAGGCTGTTGAATCATGGTATTTATGTGACATGGATCTTCTGATTAACTAAATCATTTTATTTTCTTTGTTAGGCTGCTGATTGTTTCATGGATATGGCATGCAAGCAAGGTAATTCTCACTAATTTTATGATTATGTGCTTTGCATCATCCTGGTTATGCACGTGGAGTAGAAAATCTTTGTATTCCTTAGCTGGTGCCTTCAGGAGTTGAAAAACAAAAAACTTCTACAACTCCAACTGATGATCTTTGATTTGGGTTTGAACAGCTTCAGCTAATGTCAAAAGTTAAGAACATTGCTTCTCTGCAGCTATATGAGAGGATCAAGCGAGTATAATTGCACGCAACTTCACACCATAGAATGCATTTCATCGCAATTCCAGTAGAAGTAAGAAGAAGTCTAATCAAAAGATCATGTCCTTTTGGAATATCAAATAAAACGATGGATGTACGTCTATATTTTTTTTTTAAAATGATGAACATATCTCTAACTTCCATTAATAAGTATGAGCAGACAAATAGTAACAAGGTGTAACAAGGGTGGGTTAGTTTCCAGCAACGTGGCCATTGCACAAGTTACTTATTTCCATCGTTTTGACTTGACATAGCTTCAGAGAGAAATAACGGAGTTTTCATAAATCATTTTTCTTTCTTTCTTTTATGTTGCTTTCGTATCTTTGGTTAGATCAATCTCTTAAATAAAATATAATTTTAACTTTGTCAAATTATCATATCAAATTCATTTATTGGAACATGATTTTTGTGAAATTTGATGATTCTAATACTTGAAAGGATTTTACAAGTTAACTAAATTCCGTAAAAAAATAATCATGGCAGAAGAAGTGAAAGATAATTATTTCAATATGACAATTGTCTTAAATTGTTTTTTTTTTTAGTTTTATCCCACTAAGTAATGTATTACGCTTCGACTGTAATAAGAGCACCAAAATCTATTTTCATCTATTTCTCCACAAATATGATCTTTCCAACTATGAAAAAACTTATACAAAATGTTAACATCCAAACAAAACTTAATTAAACTTAGTATATATAAACTTAATATTATTAAAATATTTCAGTCCTATCGTGCGGGATATCTGTTTTTTTTTTTAATTTATTTTTTGTAAAGTATGATGTTTGAGGTTTTTTTATACCTATGTGCTTTATAATAAATTAAAGGCTTAACAGTTGATCTTACAGTGTCCTTTTTATTATTTAAATCTAGTAGAATGGTGTTTAGTTGGTTATGACTAGGGCTGGGACGGATCCGGATATCCGGGAATTTTGGAGTATCCAGATCTGGATCCATGATCTTAGTATCCAGATTTGGATTCGGACCGTCCGGATATCTGGGTCTCGGATATCCGTCTAGAAATTGTAATATCCGCGGATATCCGGATTCAGATCCGGATTCGTAAAAATAATTAAAAAAATTATTTAAAAATACATATAATTTAAAAATAATAGACAAATTAAATATTTATACCAAATTTATGAATATATATGACCTATAATATTATTAAAAGTAAAATATAATATTATAAGATTAATTATATGTATAAATAATAATATATTAATATAATTATTAATAATTCAAAATTTATTATAATTTAAAAACACGGATCCGGATCCGGATATCCGTACCTAAAAATTAAGATATCCAGATTCGGATCCGGTTTGGACGGATCCGAGATTTTACTATCTGGATCCTGATATCCGTACCTAACTATATTTTGCTTGGCAACCGCACAAATATTATTTTTCTTTTTATACACATAAATATTTAATTTACATTATTAGTAATTTTAGTCATATATTTAAATGTTTATAAAACTATTTAAAATAAGATAATTTTATAGTTCATATGTTAATAACAATTGTTTCAATCATTTTTATTATATATTTATTTTATTGAATTCACATTTTATTATTAAATAAACTAATATATGCATGAAAAATCATGTTTAAAAATTATTTTATATTTAATTTATACTAAATTAGCAATTTTTTTGTTTATTTATGTAATATAGTATTGTATATATATAAAAGTCTATATGTTTTGTATACATGTGTTATATAGTTACTATGTTAACCTGTTCTGAGTATTATATTTTAAAGTTAATATTTTCTATTTTTGAAAATAAAATAGATTAATATTCATTTAATACAATTTTATTATAATAATTTTCTTTTAATATGATACATTATGATTTTGTAAAGATAGATAAAAGGATATAATTTTATTTTTTAGTTTATAAAATATTACTAAATATATATTAATGTATAATTTATATTCTTTACTAGTTCGAAATTATTGAAATGTTTACATAATTTTTTTAAAGTTAAGATCTTGTTAATTTTTTTTAACAAATATTATGTAATTTTGAATATATATCTATATTTTAAATAAAAAATATCAAAAGATATTATGATTATTTGGTAGGTAACATCGCCGAAGCCTATCATCTGATTTGACTACGAAGAAAGGAACTTGAGGTGAGACGGCACCGTCTTGTGCAACGCAACCATGGTAGATTTAATGAAATACATATAGTATGAATTATTAGTGATGGTCCATTTTAAAAAAAATCACACATGAATTAATGTCATGACTTTTGTTTTAATATATAAGATTATATATAATCAAATTGTATTTAAAAATATCAAAATTATGTTTATATCTAAAACATATACTTTGAAAGTAATTAAAATATTCTGAAATTTTCAGAATAATTCACATGTAAAATATAAGATAATGTATGTAATTAAATATGATTTATTATTTAAAATAATAATATAAATATACATATATATATAAATACATGTCTACATTATTTTAAATAAATAAATTATATATTACATATCAATTTTTATGATAATGTTATATTTGAATTAGTTATTGATACCATTTTATTAAATATATTAATGAAAGTATATTGTTTTCTTTCTGCAGCATGAAACTTCAATAGCATACTTCATGTTATCTCTACCGATCAAGGTCTTAATCTAAAACTTGTTTCGTTTTGCTTTCAAAAGCTGACAGGAAAGCTAAAGCTGTGATAGAGTGAAGAAGACAATGTTATATATTTAAGTGAAAGGGTTTAAATGAAAGGGTGCAATGAACCATTGCAATTGTTTATGTGAATAATCACAACTACATAAATAAAAGCTTGCAACTATTGATGATTACAACCTTTGGTAATAACCATATTAATGATTGCAACCTTTGGTGATAACCATATTGATATTTGCAACCTTTGGTAATAACTACCTTTATGATTGCAACCCTTGGTGATTAACCATTGNGCATTAAAACTCTATTTGTTATTCTTGTATCTTAGCCTAGAACAAGAATGTGACTTTGATTGTCTTATCCTACAAAGGGATTTCGTGTAACCCAAAGGCTTGGAATAGGGTCGAAATACTCTTTAAGGAAAGTGACCTCGTGCGCGATTCAATCATTATCCAAGTATATAATTCACAAATTTCTGGGTTACAACCCAATAACCAAAAATCTTAAAGAGTATTTTCTTGTGAACTATGACTAGTATATTTGTGCGAGAGATTCATCAAAGTCTGAAAAATTGTAAATGTTTGAGTGAATAAACTTTTAAAGATGGAGAAAGAAGATGAAACCATGAAGAATAATATTCTCAAAGGTATGTTAGTTTCATTTTAAATAGTATTGCTAATGATGATTGAACACGGTACCACCAAAGAGTGCCATCAAAGGATACCACCAAAAGATGCCATCAAGGGGTGTCATCCAAAGGGTGTGATCCTATCGTTACCGAAGGGATACGAGTGAATCGTGATCCAAGAGGTACGAACGTATCGTGATCCAAGAGGTACGAACGTGTCGTGACCCAAGAGGTACGAATGTGTCGTGACCCAAGAGGTACGAACGTGTCGTGACCCAAGAGGTACGAACGTGTCGTGACCCAAGAGGTGCAAACGTATCGGGACTGAAAGGGTGCGAACGTGTCGGGACCGAAAGGGTGCGAACGTGTCGGGACCGAAAGGGTGCGAACGGTTCGGGACCGAAAGGGTGCGAATGGTTCGGGACCGAAAGGGTGCGAACGTGTCGGGACCGAAAGGGTGCGAACGTGTCGGGACCGAAAGGGTGCGAACGGTTCGGGACCGAAAGGGTGCGAACGGTTCGGGACCAAAAGGGTGTGAATGTTCGGGACCGAAAGGGTGCGAATGGTTCGGGTCCGAAAGGGTGCGAATGGTTTGGGATCGAAAGGGTGCGAATGGTTCGAGATCTAAAAGGTGCGAATGTACCATCACCAGAAAGGTGTGAATGTAATGTCACCGAAAAGGTGCGAATGTAATGTCACCGAAAGGGTGCGAACGTAACGTCACCGAAAGAGTGCGAATGTAACGTCTCCAAAAGGGTGTGAATGGGGTGCAAACATAATGTTACCAAATGGGTACGAACATAATATCATTGATACTTATAAATGCAAGTAATTAGGGTTAAGGCCGAGCCATCATGAGTGGTAAACATATTGTTCATGGTCGGGTGCTATGGACTATG